CATCTTTTTGCCGGTTTGAGGGTCCGTGGGAGGTCCCGAAATGGTTGCGACGGGGTGCCATCTTTTCTCCCGGTTTGAGGGTCCACAGGAGGTTGTGACAGGTTGTGGAAATCCATGTGTTGACCCCCCACCATGTGCCATCTTATTTTTCCGAAAACCATGTGCCATCAATACGGGTTCTACTATAGTGGTAGTGGTACTGGTACTGGTGCTGGTAGTGGTGGTGGTAGTAGTAGTAGTAGGAGTAGCAGTAGCAGTAGCAGTAGCAATGCGCCGACAAACCTGCGAACCGACAGTTTTTTTGAAGGTCCAAAACAGTTTTGCTTCGAAATCGAATCTGTTTTGCTCGCAATCATGGCCGACAAGTACAAAGTAACTCTTAAGTAGAGCAGAAATCAGCCAGGCTTGTTCACTGTGCTGATGGACATGGGCAAGAAAGAGAGTTTAAGGACCGAGATCCAGAAGGCACCCGGGCATACTCGTGCTCGCCTTGCCGCCATTGGTACCTGATTTCCCTCTGTATTTTGGAGTTACCAGCCGGACCTCGGCTTCCGTTGCTCCTGCTTGCCATTTTCTACACGAAGTTTTTCTGGCAATGTTCCTCGTGTCCTGCATGCGCAAAGTTGGGAGTGGGGCGAGGACGGACAACAGAGATCACACCTGAAGAAGCCTCCTTTGTCAGGGCATGCTGATACCTGTGCCACAAAGAGATGGGTCGGGGCTCCGCCGTGCTCTCAGTCCTCGATTGAAGCCAGTTAGAGGATGAGGTTCAGTGTCAAGGGCTCAGGGTCTAAATCGGGCATGCTTGCATGGACGTTGGGTGAGTCGTGTCCTTGTTTTGCCTTGGCGCTATGCTGGCGTCGGTGCGAATTCGTAGTCGAGATGAACACTTAAAAACTACGACATCAGCAACACCACTAACAATAGTATACAGCATCACCACCACGAGTCAAAGTCAGGTGCTGTGGACCGGACGGGGAAGAGTAAAAGTTGCATGCTACTTGAAGTCAGTAGACACACACGCACACACCTTCGCCGCGAGGCTGGCTTCCAGCTCAAAGCTGCATGCTCCCGCCTCAGCTTGCTAAGCCAGGCTGTTTGGGGACGCGTCAGTTCTATGACATTATGACCTCAACGCTTTATCCGAAAACAGGAACACCCAGCAACAACGCTACAGTTGTTTGATCTCAAGACTTGTGATAGAGCTCGCAAGCGTGTCCACACTATTCCGCAC